GCAAAATTCTATATTAATGTCAACATTGACTTTAAGGCGTAAACCTCTAACCTTAGTTAAAAATGATAAACTTACATACAAAATAAATAGTATAATAAATACGATATAAAACATTGCGCTTTCGTTGTTTAACGTTGAGTAGCGTAGACGTGAAAACTGAAAGACTGGAAGGCTCGAAGGCTAGAAGGCTGAAAGGGAGGAAAATAGAAAAGTAAAGATTCGGGCGGACAAACAAAATGACAAAAGAATAACAAAAAATGTGCTAAAACTCTCACATTAAATTTTTTATTATTTGTCGAACATTTTATTAGTCTACCCTACACAACTTGTCCGTACAAGGGCAAATTGAGTTTGTACAGGTACATATAATACCCACATCAAGATCCGGCGTAGATTCACTCTTTATATAGAATTATAATCATTTTCCGAATCGCGTCAAAACTTATCCGTCTGTCCGTCCGTCTTGTTTTCTTGTCTTCAAACTACAAGGTTATGTTATGATACATTTTTCGATCACTTTCCGTAGAAAGCGTTATTTTAAAAAGTCTATGAATAACTACAAGTTGATGTACACTATTTAACAGTATTTAACATCTCTATACGTTTATTTAATATATGTATGAAGAAAATATTTATTTTCTATTTAAATTATTATATATATGTAGAACATTTGGGCAAATAAAAATCGTTTCTCCTTTTCCTAGCGATTCTCCGAATAGTGCGCTAATAGCTTTCCCATGAAGCGTGAATGAAGTTTTCATAGAAACTACTTCTAAAGACAGACAAATTATGATGCAAAGCAAATTTTCAGAGAAAAAATATTATAAAAATCGTAGATCAATACAAACAAAATCGTGCAAACAAGAGATACAAATTGAAATTTTGCCATGAAGCTAAGCAATTGTCGATTCGATAATTAATTGCTAAACATGCTACAATTGCTAGAAACATTATAAAATTTGTAAATTAATTCGTTTAATTGTTCCCATTGGATAACCACTTAAGAAAAATTTGACGATCGAATATAGAATTGGCTTTCAAAAAAAAAAAAAAAAAAAAAAAAAAAATTTCAAAATTCTCCTTACTCTCCAAACATTCCACAAATCATCGATACTATGCGGTATAGAAAGAGTTCAGCAGTTCTTTCTTTAAACCCTGGCGGTTAGATTTGATAATAGAGAGAAATAAATGTATTTGAAAAATTGTTAAACTTTGTTGCACTTTGTTGATGATATGGACAAATAAAAGAATTTAAAACCAACATAACCTCAAAAATCAAGCAAAGGAAAATACGTGACCTTTATAGAAATAATTTTAAATAAAAGGGACAATTTTCACAAATACTTTTTTCCGAATTAGCATAAAAGTTAAGGTCTCTCGTTTAACATTCGTGCTAAGAAAAATTTATAATGAATAAATTAGAAATTTTTCCGCTAAATTATATTTATATGCGATTGACATTAAGCCGACTTAAATATGATACCATATTTTATTAAATTACCTTTATTAATCGCCAATTAATAACTTTGATATATGTAAATAATTCCGTGTAGAACGCTACTCATGTAACGAGTATCGACTATCGATCGTTAATTGGTACCAACTATAGTAGATAAATAATAAATATTATAATTAAAAATTAAATTTTGCATCATTATATGGCACTTCATATATTAATTCTCTCTTTAATTATATTTTAATTATAATATAAATAAAAAAAAAAAATAAAAATAAACAACTAAGAAAATTAAATTCGATCGGGACCGAATCTTTTACACCCGTCACCGCTTACCCCGAAAAAAGACAAGAGAAGTAAGAGAACAGATGCTCTCATTGGGTAGGCGTGGTCACTTTTTTCAGTTTTTGTACACGAGTGCTACCCCATCGCCTAAAGATTACGCGCTCAAATTTTTGTCCATTTATTTGCTATACTTTATGAGTAATGAGCAAAAAAAACGAATTTTTCATTCCCTTTGATCAACAACATAGATGTTTTTAGTTTACGTGGTGGTGTGGCTGTGCTCTTCGGTCGATTTGCTCAATTTTCGATGTCAACGTACATGCAAGAACTTCCAATGTTTCTTGCAAATTTGGAGTCGATAGCCGGGCACTCTTGCGACCAAAAGAATATTTACAACAGACATTACACAGATGGACAAACGGACAGACAAAAAGAAATTCTTAAATCGATTTAGAATTGAAAGGCAAGCAAGAATATATATACTTTGTGGGATGTCTGATGATTCGTTCTCGGCGTTGCAATCGTTTTAACAAAATGAATATACTCCTCATGCTTCAGTGGTGGTGGGGGTAAAAAAAAGTAAAGAAAAACTGATATCCGCCTTACGGCGAATCTTGAGCGCCCTTGAGGCCCTTGATTGTTTTACAAATCTTGATATTTTCTTGCAACAAAGTTTAAGATAACTCTGATAAAAAATGCGCCGATATTATATAGTGGCGATATTTATAAGGAAACTAATAAGGTAGTCAAAGAAGGTATTTGACGATTGATTTGATGTTATGGTGTGCTTTTTCAACTTTTCAGCACTGTTATAATGATTTGTAGGTTATCTTTGAATTAAATGCGGTTATGTTAATATATTTTTCTCCTGTGATCATTGTGGGCGTGGTCTTGGATACTTGTATTACAGAATTTCAAACTGCCATACTTACCATACGGAATGATCGGAAAAGGAAACTCGAAATCGAACTTAATTTTCTACATCAAATTTTCATTGCTATAAACAAACAAACGATTAAGCACATTGACTGGCAGATGCGGCAAAGTCGTTCCTACCTGTCACGAATATCAAGTGTATACTTAGTTTATGGATGCTTCAATGAACCGTTCTATTGACTGAAACCATTTAGCTGATCTTATATTATCTATACCATGTGATGGGAAAGTAAATTCTGCTACTAGATCTTATTATATCTGGCGCTTTTTATTTAAATTATACACTTTTATACTATTTTACTAGATCTGCAATTTTGTGTCCCTCTTTTCTCAAATGCATTGAAATAATAGAATAGCTATACAATTTATATTATTTATTAGGTTTTCAAGGATAAAATTTGGCCCTTTGACACTTTATTACTCGATATTGATTTCTATTAATATTTTAAGATTCTAAAGAGATGAAGAATAAGATAAGGAATAAGAGAGCGAAGCAACGAAGTAAGGAGCTTGTATGGAAAAAGCACAATTTAAAATACAATGAGGAACGCATACGTTCCACAGGAAGTATAGACTTGTTCTCCCGATTTTTTTCCGCATTTATAAATGAAATCGAGTGCAAAAAGATGTCTCCTACTGTTCTCTTGTAACTGCTACGTAAATCCACCAATTTCTGCGTATCATCATATGTACGTGTACCGCTACCCAAATGTTAAATCCTACTGGAGTAAGTATGGCTTCGATCATATATAACAGCTGATGACCATAAATAGATTTGAGAAAATAAGATTCGTAATTCATCCGAATGATAACGCACAGCAAATGTGTTCCAGCCAGCAAATGTGTGTGTAGCACATTTTATCAAACAATACTCATAAATAGCATTTAAAGTTGTTTGCTTTGGATTTACTTATAATATCTTTTTGTGTGTGCACAGCATCAGTATGAAAAGTCACCAGTGTATCACATGATTGATATTACAGTGATCAAGTCATGAATATTATAAAAACAACAACCCAAGCCATACATTAGTTAATTACAGATCAGAACTTGCAGAGACATTATAAAAAGTCGAACGGGAATAAATGGGGAAGGCGTACTTATCTAAAAACAGAGATAGAAGCTAAGAAGCGAGCTGATAGCAGACGAGAGTTAGAGAGTGGGAGAGGTACATAATGAGATGTGGCTTTAAAACTAGACGAAAACTAACAGGTTGCCAAGGGTTTTCCAGGGACCACAAAAATCGCAAGTGCTTTGCTGCATATTATTCATAAATGATATGAAAATTCCTATATTAATAAATAATATAAGTACATAATCACTTGTCTATGTCTACAATAATTTTAGTAGTAAATGCATATTGTTGCCAATAGTCTACATATCACTTTTTTTCGAAGTAAACCCTCAATATGATTACCTGAATTTTTTTAAAATTATTTTTTACATAACCTATGATTACATTCCTATAAGGAGCGGAATTTTTCAAAAAATTTAAAGCAAAAATCAATCATTTAAGGCTTAAGCTAATATTAATTTACTACTTTTTTCGTTTATTGGATAAATTCATCAGCTTAAAAGGATAACGCTTTAACGACGAAACTTTCAATTCCAATCCGACGCTACCAAGCCTGTGGCCCATTAAAACCTCAAGCATTAACAAAACAACAATTAAAAGTTCACTGACTTTTCACTGATAATTATTTAAAAAACTCTTAAAACATAACAAGTGTATTTTTTATTTCTAAAATTAGAAATAAATGTAAATATTTTTTTAAAAAATATTTATCAAATATTTGTTATATGAAATATTTTATTATTTATTAGCTAATAAAAAAATAAAAAAACACAAAAGTCAGTGATTTCAAATTTTCACTGTCAAGGTACGAAATAGAACGATTAAAAATATGATTTAAAATTAAAAAAAATATATTAAAAAAAATAACGAACACAAAGTTTAAATTGTTAAGGTAAACGATATTAACACAATAACCGTAATCATAAAGCCGTTAGGTTTTTTGTTTTTTCCCAACAGGTTTACTGTTGGCTTCTTACTGCATTGGTACAAATCATGTCTTAGTTAAGCCAAGTACAAGTCAATACTCATAGATTAAAATCTCAAGTGCGTTAGAGTTTTCAGTGAAGCCGATAGCCTTAGATGCTATTGCTTTAAAAATTTAAAAATTTTAAAATTTATTCTCGGATTAAATTAAAAACAATAAAAATAAATATACATTTTTAAGGTTTTTTTTATTAATTACATTCTTTATTGTATACATATATATATATATATATATATATATATATTTTTTTATTTTTATTTTAGGTATCCATAAAATGGGCTTACAAAAGCAATACCTAAGATATGGACGTACGGCTCGGGATCGTTTATTAGGCTGGTTGGGTATATCAACTAGGACAGAAAATCGCGTCGATAATTTAACACAAGTGAATACATCGACCCCAATTATCGTGGCAGGCCGCGAGAGTTTAAATGCTAGCCTTAATACTACTCCTACAACTACCACAAATAATGCAAACCAGCCTCGTCGCTCTAATCAAACGTCTCACAGAAATCGAACAACGCCATTGTCTATGTTAATTTCACAAGGAGCTAAATTAAGTAACAGTAAGTCGAAACAATTACATACGTAATATATATATATTAAAATATTATCTTAACTTCTTCACGTCAATTCTTAAAAAAAAATTCAAAAAATATTTTAAATTATATTAAACCGTTGAATATATTCCGCCTAAGTATGCGGTATTTGGGTATATTCATTTTGTTAAAACGTTTGCAACGCCCAGAGGGAGACATCAGAGGTCCGACAATGCGTATATATGCTTCAATCAGCATCAAATCCTAAATCGATATAAGAACGTCCGTCTGTCCGTTCATTTCGTAAACATTCTTCTGGCCGCAAGCGGGCCCGGCTATCGACTTCAAATTTGACAGAAGCTTTTGCATGTAGGTTGGCATTGAAAATTGAGCAAATCGACCGAAGAACACACCAACACCACCACGTAAACTAAGAACATCTATGTTGTTGCTCATTACTCATCAACTATAGCAAATAAACGGACAAAAATTTTGAACGTGTAATCTTTAGGCGATGGGGGTAGTATTTGTGTACAGAAATGGAAAGAATTGACCACGTCAACCCAATATTATAGTGTATCAAACTTTAATTGTTTTTTCAATACCTTTGTAATGCGCAGCAACAACCTTCAAAAACCCCATAAAGTATACAAATTCTTGGCCACCTAAACATATATGCCTGCTCGTCTGTCCATCTGTCTTTTTGCGCAACTTTATAGTATTTGTTTTAAACATTTTCCCATTAGTGAAAATGAATGTATCGCCTAAACAATTTGGAATTAACTTAAACTTTTCAAAGGACACGCCCATAGCTTCTACATATCTCTAGAACAAAAATTTTTATTTTGGAAAATAGAAGAAATTAACTGCGCTTACTTCATATTATAGAGAATGAGAATTTTTTTCTTTTGTCTTTTTTTTTGGCTAATCGGCCACAAAAGTATTGATTGATACGAGCTTTAGATATCATTTAGTTTCTTTCCTTACCTTTATACCTTGTTTAAAATCAAAGACACCTTTTTAAAATGGTCAGGTAATTAATCGCATTTCTTAGAATGATTTCCTTTCAGTTGGGATAACTAAGTGTAGGTGCATTAGCGGTATGTCGCTATAACATTATTCTAAGTGACTCAGCAAGTTATTAACACTGAACGTTTTTAGAAACGAATAGAATCATGACAAAAAGAAATCGTCATTTGATTAAAAGAACGCTGCGGTTATGGCTCCAATTTACCGATTACCGGTTACCATGTTTTGGGGAACTCGGCTTCTTTGTAATGTTTTTTCTTTTTATTTAACGCAGCATAACACACATCCATTCAAAGAATCAAGTCCATCTACGAAAGGCTGCCTTTAATTGAACAGCTTATGTTTACGGCCTTTTCGATTACAATTACGGTATGCTGCTTAGCCGAGCCGAGCACATCAGCTACGCCGCTCTTTATCTCAATCTCTTTCCCCCACTTATTTTTGCCCGTCACTACTTTACATGTATAGGTTACATGCTTTAAATGATTCATCATATATAAAAAAAAAAAAAAAGAATACATAAATGAAAAGAAATTCGGTTACCCTGCGGCAACCGATCTATATTCACACTGCACTTGTATCCGCATGCGCAGTCGAGTAGATAAAAACCGATAGACCACCAAATCGATGTTCACATGATCAAATCCCAAGTGCGGTAGATATTACCTTTGGCCTTGTAACTATAGCGAATGCTTAGTCGGTGAAGACGTAACACTTTCCGATTGCTGTCATCTTTCCATCTCATTTTTCTTCCCTCATTTCTTTCTAATTGTCACCGTGCTGAACGAATAGGAAACGTCACACGAGTAATTGTTCATATTAAAAAAATATTTATATATAGCTCTAAGAAAAAAAAAAATATATATATATATGTATGTGCATGCACTTAATATATTAACATTTTTGCTATGAAAATGTCACCAGAATGCCAAGCGAAATGAAAATGTCTTCCTTAACCTCAAATAAGCTATCTGACTGACATAAGAATATACATATTTAACGAGACTCTGTCGTAATCTTCTACATACGCATTCTATTAAAGGGAATATTTTCTGTATTCGATCTATTTAGGGATTTTCTAAGCGTCTCAATGACGAATTTATTCGATTTTCGCTTAATAAAAAACCAGTGTGACTAGTGTGACATTTTTCTTCTTTTTTTTTTTTTTCATCTGTAAATTCGTTTCTTGTCCGTACAGACAGACGGTAATACATATAAATGCTTTTGAAATGAAAAACAAATAAAAAAAAATGTTTTAAGAAAATAGTTTTCAAATTTTTATACAATTGAATTGAAATGGTTCGTGTCCAGAATTTAATCTAAATTTAATACACCATAAATTGCTCATTAATTAAAGTTTAATATAACTTGTTCTTAACTGTGTGCGTTTAGTTAGTTAATTTTACGCATTTTCATCATAAATCTTTATAAAGGAAATTGAAAAATACTTGCAGATAATGTCAATTTTCTACATAATCATACGATTTATTTCAACAATCGTGCCGATCTTTATGGAATCTCTCTATATACTGGTTAGGATAATAGAAAATATATCAACAATAAAAAATTCAAAACATATTTTTATTTATTATACACGCAATAATAATAATAATAATAATAATAATATATTTTATAAGTGCTCGAATAACGTTAGGCACATAAAATAAGTGCATAGAACGTGATAATAATTCTTTTTATTAATTAACCGAAAAGTCAATAACACTGCCCAATTAACCAGTTTATCGGCCAGCTATGGCTGCGTAAGATAACGTGTTTGTAAGAAAAGGAAGATAAATATAATTGTATATGTATGTACGTGTGTGTGTGTGTGTGTGTGTGTGTGTGTGCGTATATATATATATACATGAAAAATAGCATGCAATAACAGCAGCAATAATAAAAACAACAACAATAAATACGTTAACAGAAAACCGGTAGCAAAATATTCTATTGCCACATCCTGACCATGTTCAGCTGACTTCAACAGGCGAACCTTAAAAATCAAATGCGAAGAAAAAAAAATCTTATGCACAAAAAATCAACATCAAGAAGTTTAAGTTCACCTGCTAGTCTAGCATTAAACAACAACTAACGCTCAGCAACATTAACCGATTAGAATTACAAAAACAAAAATCAAAATGTAATTGTATAAAAAAAATATTAAAAAAGCAAAAACTTTAAAATGAAAACAACAAAACAAAACAAAACAAAACAACGAAACGCAGCAGACATGCGCTTTTGTAAGAAAACAACTTTTTGGAAAAAGTCCGCTAACGAAAACGAAAAAACATAATATTACACACACACACACACACGATGCAAAAAAAAAAAAAAAAAAAAAACAGAATGCCAGCCAAATTTATAAAACATGTTTTTCCTAGATTTTCAATCGAGACAAATCCAACTATTATCAAACAAACGAAATGCATACATACTTGTGTAGATGTGCCTAATGCCGTCTAACTAGTATGTATATAAAAAAAATTTAGTTACTAACAAAAATTAGACGAAAACAAAACTGACGAGTAATAATACTAAGTTTTTAATGATATTTGCAACTGATGCGTATGTTTGTATGTCTATATGTCTATATATGTGCTTGTGTGTTGCTTTTGAGATTGTATTATATGTAATGCTAATAAAAAAGTAAATAAACTAAACTCTGAGTTAAGTAAATAAAACTTGTTGTTGTTACAACAGCTACTACCTCTGCACTAGTATGTAGCAGCAAAATGCGCTACACTGACACCGTAATACAAATACGAATATAACGTAACCGATAGTTTAAACAGCACAACGTAAACCGTTCAGTAATTCTTAAAATATTTTCATAATTTATGTAATCATTTGAACACATATACACGCATACACACGCACACACACACACACAATACACGCAAAACGGACACCTAATAAAAAAATCCTTCGTATATGCATACAAATAAATATATTGAGAGATATTATGAACAACATTTTTTCAATCATTTTATATGAATATCTTTCTTCTATGCATCCTTTTGCTATTAATTAATTAATATCTGCTGGGTTGTATTACAAATAATGGAAAATATTTTTTAAACCATTACTTCTGGCCTCGAGGTGTAGTCAGTCAATCTTTACTAAGCTAAATAGAATAATACCAAGGACGAGATGTTTTTCTTCCCGTTCCATAATATGTAACATTACAACGTCTCGAATTGACAAAAAAAAAACTTGTTTCGCGAACAAAAAAGAAAAAAACAAAAATATTTTTTTACTTTTCAAACTCATTTTCAACTTTTAAAAATTAAGCGAAAATCTTTCTATCTATCTCTAGAAAACTTTGTGTTGTTTTTTTTTTTTATTTTTATATTCCTTTGCATGAAGAGCCTTCCCTACGTTCAGAAATGTTATTTACATTTGTTTGTTTCTTTTTTTTGGCTTTTTGCTACACTTTTATCATTTTGATGAGACTTTACTGATAAAGCATCCGCTAACTGTTACTCTTGACTGCATCATCTTCGCCGTAAAAGACGAATTTTAATGGCAATTAATTCACTGGCATTATTTTGCACGAGTTACAATGAACTTTGAAATGAAACCATTTGGCACCTATTGTAAGGATTTCCATATTCGACTAATTATATAACTCCAGTGCAAAATTTTGATAAGAAATTCCCCACCCTTCTCCTTGTAGCAGATAGCTCGTTAAATTGTTTCTTAACAAATAATTTCCTTTAATTGGTTACTTTTCGCTTTTCAAAAGCTACTACCGAGCAGTGTTCCTCGTTTTAGTTACATGAAAATTTCTTACTTAAAAGCAAAAGTAAAATGCGTTCCAAGATAACCGTACCTCCCCGAACGCTGACTTTCTCTAAAGAGTAATACTCTCTATGTCGGTATTTCTGCTTAGGTTCGTATAGTTAGGCGTATCTTGACCGTTTGCATTATTTGCTCGCTTGTCCCTCTATCGAATAAGTTCATCATTCTTTTGTCAATTCTCTTAGTTGCTAGAATTA